GATACTGTAGTTTAACGTGGTTCATCGTAGACTTAATAACTGCTTGGTATATTAGGTGCGTAAACGAAATGATCGATGGAACTTTTTTCATTCCGTCTATCTATTTCGTTTGAGTATTAGCGACTACGTTGCGTTTAGTTTAAGTTATTTTGTATTAATAGCATTAATTCGTATTAATTAGAATATTAAGATAATATTAGTTCTAAGCTGAAGAACGAAGACAACCGACGAGGGAACTTAGTTTTTTATAGGTTTAGGCTCAAGAAAGAAGTCATCCGCCGAGGGATTTTAGTACCGATAGTATTATATAGTTAAGATTTAAGTTATTTATAAGGTTTATTGTGAAAGGTGGGTAGATGTAGAACTTGTGATTCCATCTACCTGCCTTGGGCCTCCACTCGCAGCAACCTCCTCGTGGTGAGGCCTGGGCAATCGGTATTATCATCGGTAAAGTACTGTAAACTGAAGACAATACCGAGCTAATAGCTGCGAACTTCGAATCTATCTCATAAAACCACGTTCTATATTACATCGAACTAGAATTATTTTAATTTGAGTATTAGCGACTACGTTGCGTTTTACGTTGCGTTAGAAAATTATTCTAGATAAAGATGTATGGAACTACTGAAAATTACTTTAGATTCCTTTTCCTTATTCTGTAGATTCTTTGATTGGAATATGAATGCTGCTGGAAGTACGAACATTTTCACAGGACAAACGCGTTTTCTTTTCTTTTCTTATTTTTCATTCTTTTGTTTCTTTTGGTTTTGCCTTTTAAAGTTAATACATTTCTTTGCCGAATAGTGGCTACGTTATGTTTTAGTTTTTATCGTCGATACTGATCTTATATGCATATATAATTCTTGTACGAGTGTGTGTTCGCGTAAGCCTCTGACAGTTACTTGTTACTAAAATTCCTCTTTTTCACAAATAAAACCTTTTTGTAGAGTTAATTGAAAATGCTCGTTTCTTCACCTAACCCAACATACAGGATGCACAGTTATCTGAAAATCAGTACTATAAGATGTGTAATAAAACTTAATAAGGTTTTTACATTAGTTACAACCTTACAGAATGATGCGAACAAATTCTTTATGGATTCGAACTTCCGTCAACTAGTCCATGAAAACCTATGTTTGCATAAACATCCGCCATCTAAAGATGATCGTCCGTGTTCGACGTTGATGATTCATCATGATTAAGTTCGATTCAAATAAGGATAGTTGAAATAGCGATAGTAATAATATCATTTATATACGTACTTCAAAAACACTCGAATTAAAATTATTTGTTACACTCACCTATTAAGTTCTTCCAAGCTACGCAAGAAATCGATCGCCTCGGACATGTTCTGTATCCGTTTGACGGTTTCCACCTGAAACGACTCGTTCCCCGGTTTCAGACCCTGATAGATCTGCTGTAGCCTAAGCAGACCTGCAACAAAGACGTAATTTACCGTCAATGTGTTTCATCGTGAATTCGAAAATTCTCAATACTCGTAAACGAATTTACAAGGTTCGCCGCTCGTCATTATGTATGTATTACAGAATACACGTCTTCCAAAATCTACGGCACGCACAATTGCGCCGCGCACTGGCCGCAATTCATTGGCAAATTCTGTTCTGCCTACGGTATTCAACGAGACTGAAACATCACACGGTGATTCTGGTGGAATTGGCTATCATCTTTCAATTTCGACATGGTAAATTATTCATCGTTCGAAATTAGCTTTGCAGGCCATTGAAGGGATAATTCGACAAGAGACTCTTGGATGGATGCAAAAGTAATGGTCTCTGCATTTCAGTTGGTATTATAGATTTATTTTATTTTATTAGCGCCGAGTTCAATTTTGTCAGACAAGTGGCTAAATATTACAGCAAATGAGGTGACTATTTCAAGTAACAATCGGTAATATTAATAAATATCTTCGACAGAAAAATGGCCCCTTACTTTTGGATACACCCAGCACTTTTCATCTTGTTATCTTTTGTAATATTAAGAATTCAAAAGGTTTTCTAAAAAATTGTGTTAACAGAACGTTGATGAATTTATTGATATTTCTGTTTTTCAACGTAGTACATTTGGGAAAAATTATTCGTTTCACTGTGTGTCTTACTATTAGTGTCAATGAACTGTAATAAATGGAGACATCGTCATTTTCTAAGCTTTCTTCTATTTTACAATTCCCTTTTAGTTCGGCTCAATATAATTCATTTACGTTGGTCTATTTTGTCGGGCAAAATTTGCTCCCCCGTCTTTGCCGGACTAGTAGTTTCCATTTTATGAAACTTTAAAGGAATCACTAAGAAGCAATGAACTTCGCCTAAAATAATTACTGCTTGTCTCATTAATTTGTCAGTACTATTTTCATTTCTTTCTGTCGGATACCGTAATGTCTACAAGGTTCCCATCGGTACGACATCATTCACCGTTCAATTCAAAGGACACCAATGTTGAACCTCTCCTTGTTTGTTGATTGGATGTCTCCGATCATCCGAACGATTGCACTTCTATGACGGAAGGACTGACCGATTCGTAGTCGCGGGCAAGTAAAGGTAATGCAAAGGGTAGAAATTGAAAAATTAGGAATGAAAGGACAAACAGAGGGAAAGGAGGGGGGAGCGTTGGAAGAGTCAACAGCGGGAAGCCGGGTAACTTTAGTGCTGTCGTCATGACATTTTTCGACGTCATGCGTAAAGCTAATGTTCGTGTTAACAAGCGTCGCTATAAAAAAGCTTGCATTTCAACGAGCACCACCGCAGCTTCTCCTGAACATCGGCCGTGCGTCGGTCAGCGATTTCTTTGTCGCTGTTCCTCGCGGCAGCATCGCTACCTCAAAATCCGCTGGACCGATCCGGGAATGCCGCGAGTCCATCGCTGCTTTTCCATCAAGTTTCTTTCGGTGAGTGTAGTAGTTATACTAGGCCGATTCTGGCTCACGGATCCAACGGAAATGTCCACTAGGGGAAAAAGTGACGTAAGAGAAAGGCTTGGTAATTTTATTTCAAGTACGAAAATAAATGTTAAATTGAATGTTAATTTGACATAAATGTCTATAATTCCCGAGACTAAGCGATAGAAAGCCCTTCTCCTACAGTACTTTTTCCCCTAGCGGAAACCGAGTTTGCTCATGAGGGTACATATCGCAGGCCAAAGCCAGCTCCAACGGAAAGTTCTCACGCTATTGCACGCGTACATAAGCCAGACGCGACGTTGATAGAATTTTTGGAATTATGCTATTGCACTCGTACCTATAACAGATCAAACCCGACTCCAACGGAAATATTACACAATTGCGCGCGTACCTATAACAGATCCAACCTTATAACGCTATTGTAAGTGTACATAAGCCAGACCTAACCCAATTCCATAACGGAAATTTAATTTTAATAAAATAACGAATTATTTTAATATAATGCTATTGCACTCGCACATAAGTGTGACCAGACCTTGATTGTATTTCGTAAGCGACGACGTAAGAGCTGTAGTGTTGGGAGGTCGTGTACCGAGACGCAATTATCTCTAGTTACATCCGGGCGATAACACCCCGCGTGCAGGTTCGCGGGTTTCGCGGTAGTCGCCAACGAACTCTTCATTACCCCGATGGTTTTTCCATGTATCCATCCGGCGATATAGATCTCCTCAAAAACCCGACCGTTCGCCGAGAAAGCTTTCACCCGGATTCCGAAGGACGCCATGATGTCTTTTCACGATATCCCGATTTCCCACACAGCCCTTTTCCAAATTCCTAATGTCGCCAAGATGTCTTCCCATGATATCCCTATTTCCTAGGTCATCCTTTTCTAAATTCCTTAAACTCAGCATACACCCCCTCCAAACCGGAACCCCTTTAAATACTGGTCCCAAATAGGGGATGAGACAGTCATTTTCTGAACTTCAGCAACATCACAACGTCACTCTGTCCAATTGTATTCATATTTGTAAATAATAGTTAAATAAAACGTATTAAAACCTAATTCGGAGTTACCGCGACGACACGGGCGAGCAACGATGATAAAGCGACGATGATGTCGTAGTTGGAGGAATGGTAGTAAGATCATGCACCGACACTTCGAAACCTGTCGTCATCAGAGCTAAGAATAAGTTTTGTTAAGAAATACAATAGGTACATGCTGTTCAGTTTCTTTATTAATACGTTTCGTACAAGATTGTGTTTAAACACAGAGCCAATAGTTTCATTATTGTAAAAATGTCAATTGTTCATTTTGTATAACATTTTTTAATTTGAATACATTTTCCATTGCACAGACACCATTATGCGATGCACATCTATACGTGTTTGAGATGCTCATGTTGCTTAAACTTGAAATTATAGATCCTCCTCATCGTCATCATTCTCCAGTGTCCTCAATATTTTCAATTTTAATATTGCAATCCTTTCCCAGCAGGTCCGATACCCATTGTTTCTTTTCATGGCCTTTAACGATAACTATAGTTATCCCGCTACCAGTCAACGATTCTCGCAGAAGCCAGTAAACTAAATGATATGGGATGTTCCTGTTAAGGATAAAAGGAAGTTTTAAATTATCAGTTCAGTGAAGTATTGAAATCAACACGGCTTAGGAACCAATATTACAGATTTATAAAACGTACCCATTACCCCATTAAATTCGATGGTAATTTCTTTCCAACCAAGTACATTGTCGTCTTTCACTAACACTCAGTTTCTTCAATGGGTACTGAGGCATGAATATCCAGTGACCTAGGCCACAATTCTCCAAAAGAATCGCCACCTCATTTACTATGAAATCGTTTTTAGAGTTCTTAAAGCCTTGTACGTCTAGAATAGCGGTGATCATTGTAACGGACAAGGGAATATGTACTTCGACGTTAGTCCCCGCGGCTTCGAGCGAAAGTGTGTGCGCATGCTCTGACTGTCCCCACTTCCGACGCTCCAGAAACTCCTACCCGCACGTACCTCTTGCCCGACGATCGCAACGCAGCGCAGGTGACTAGCGGGGAATGGACTGAGAGATGGTGGGGACCGCGTCGTCTGGCGATGTGACCCACGGGCCACATGTTGGACAGGCCTGTCATACATGATTCGTGTAGCCATGCGGTTCGTAAAACAATTTAAGAATATTCATGTTTCCGCGTACGATCATACGTTCGATTATTACAAACAAAACCGAAAACGTGGTACGTTGTTACCATACACTATACGTTGCGTGATATGTGGCCCATACAACTGTGGGAAAACAAACGTTATGGTCAGTTCACTTGAGAGTCCGAATGGTCTACGATTTGAGAATATTTATGTATATTCGAAATCACTGCATCAACCAAAGTATCGATACTTGGAAGAAGTGCTATCGTCTGTGGAGAATGTGGAATACTTCGCTTTCTCGGATAATGTGGAGGTGATTCCGCCTGCTCAAGCCCGACCCGACTCAATATTCATCTTCGATGACGTTGCTTGCGATGAACAGGATGTAATGAGAGAATATTTTGCGATGGGCAGTCACTCGGACATGGATTGTTTCTAACTGTCACAGTCATATGCCCGAATACCGAAACATTTGATTCGTGACAATGCCAATCTATTAATTCTGTTTAAACAGGATGGTATGAATTTCCGTCATATCTATCACGATCATGTGAACGTGGATATGACGCTTGAAAAATTTAACCATTTGTGCGTGAGATGTTGGCAACAAAAATATGGATTCCTCGTGATCGACTAGTCCCATACATCATGGCCGATACGGACGAAGATTTAACGAGTTCGTTGTGATCTCATTCGTCGCGCGTGTTGTAGAAATTGACTAGGATCGATGTGCTCAACGTTGATAACCGCACTGTTAAAAATGCGACTCTTAAACGTCGACTCAATGTTCTCCCAAACGAGAGACGATGCTTCAGCTCCACGGGTTCCACCGAACAAACTACTACCCACGCGTGTGTGTCTCTTACGCATCAAAACTCTCAGGTTCTTTATTCGACATTTGTTTTGCACTAATCGGTAAATCATTTTTCACCAGATAGTCTATGGCATGTTCTAAACTTTTATCCCACTCACTGTTTCATACATGATACTCGCTGACGGTACGTATCAACGTGGACATTGATGTTAATGTATGAAAAAGCTTTTTAACGATATCCATGATGTCGCTTTAACACGTTCACGCCGGCGCGTACCACCGATGGCTCACGCTCGAGTGTCCTATCGGGCGGCATGCACTGATGCCAAAACGTGGGATAACCGCGCGGCGCTTACCCTCTCCATGCCTCCCGTGGGTATTTTACCCAAGCATATTCTACCCTGTCCGTGAGCTCTGCCCCACTACGTCCTACTCGGCGACTCCCCAACCCAAGCGTTCGCTACCTCTGCCGTGTGCGCTCTGCTTCGGGTGTTCTCGGCAAAAGTCCTCACACGTTTACGACGCGACAGCCGAGTGGCCCAAGCCAGGTCA